CGGCAGGGAGGATTCGCGGCCGCGGCGGTGACCGTGGCGGTGACCGCGACGGCGGCTTCCGACCGCGGAGCTTTGACCGTGACAGCGGTAGCGGCGGCGGCGGATTCGGCGGGCGGGATCGCGGCGAGCGGAGCTTCGGTGGCGCAAGGCGGGAAGGCGGTGGCAGCGGCGAGCGAAGCTTTGGCGGGCGCGGGCGCGACTCGTTCAGCGACCGCCCGCGCCGTGGCGGCTTCGGCGGCGGCAGCGACCGCGGTCCGTCCCGCTTTTCGCGGCGTGACGAGGGGCGGTTTGGCGCCTGAGGGGCCCAGGCCTCGCTCTCTCAAGGCACCTGCCAAGATGTGATGCCATGCTCTCCTATATAGACGGACGGCCTTGACCTAATCGCAGCCGCCCCGGGGCCACCCTCATGTCCATGTTCTTCCCCTTCTTTCTCCTCCTCGCGGCCTCTTCTTTCACTTCTTTGAGATCCAGGATGTATTACTACCGCCGCGCTCTTCCTTCTTGCCTCTCTCCATCTCACACCATCCCCTCTCTTATCGTCTTTGTCGTCGCGCAGGTCATTCCGGCGGCCGGCATGCGCCATTGACGCGATGCACGCGGCCGAGCATCGATCGGACGAGGTTACATGCCGGCCCTACCTTCCTCCTGTCTCTGCACCTCGACGGCCCTATCGTCCGAGCTTCCGCTCGTCGCCCTCGCCGCCGCCGCCGCCGTCGTCGTCGTCGCTGCAGCAGGCTGATCCGGTCTCTTGCTCCTGCTCTCGTCACGACGGCGACGGTGATGGACGTGTCCGACCTTGTGTCCGCTCGAGTGGCGCCACGAGGCATGTTGATCCCACGTCCCGTCGCTCCTGTACGCTCCCTGGCCCCGCGCCGCGTCCGAGGTAGTCGTGGCGCTCTCGGATCGAGGACGGTGCGATGTACTCTGCTGAAACGATCCCTGCCCATCGTCGCCGTCGTCGTCGTCGTCGACGACGGCCGTCTCCTCATCTCGGCCAGGTACCTCCTCCCCTGCCTCCTCCTCGTCGTAGGCCGACGAGGAACCGGATTCGGAGCCGCGCAGAGACGAAGAGTCGCCGTCGAGCTTGATGGTGCCGATTCCGCGGTAGTCAAAGTACAGCTTGACCAGCGGGATGCAGAAGGTGTGGCCGATGAGCGACGAGAGGATCAGAGCGTACGTCACTGGTTTCACCACCCTGCGAGCGCGACAAAGGGGGGGATCAGGATGCGGAGAGAAAAGGGAGACAAGACGACGGCGGCGTCAGTCGGGCGCTGTCGCACAACGGCACTTGCGAGACGGAGGGCAGGACAGGCGGGTCAGGCCCGCGACTCACTCGAGGATCCTGCGGGTCGCGTAGTCGTCGCCGTCTTCGCTGAGCTCCTGGATGGTGTGCTCCATGTAGAAGAATGCGCCGGCGCCGATGGGCGCAAAGTAGCCGACAAAGGCGGCCTCGGAGACGTCGTGGATAGTCGGGACGAGGCGCCAGAGGGCGAGCATGGCGGGCAGGCGGCGAAGGACGAGGACGGCGATGCACATGACGACGAGCCTGGCGGGCGTGATGCCGTACTCGGGCGCGTTGAAGGCGTCCCAGGGGATCGTGGCGCCGAGGAAGGCGAAAAAGACCATGTTGAGCACGAGGTCGAGGCAATTGTCGACCTCGCTCTCGTCGCACTGCTCGCGGTAGAAGTCGTTCCAGCTGAGGGCGTTGCCCGCGACAAAGGCGGCGAGGAGGTCGTCGAACTCGAAGAGGCCGCCGGAGCCGACGAGGAAGACGGCCATGGCGGCGCCGTAGAGGAGGAAGCTCTCCTTGTCGATCCAGTCCTTGCGCGTCGAGAACTCGAGGAGCTTGCGGCAGGCGTAGCCGACGAGGCAGCCGTAGGCCACGGAGCCGGCGACGGTGTAGAGGCACGTCTCGAGCAGCCACGCCTTGAGGGCTTCGGAGGTCGTGGTGTACTTGAGCAGGTTGACGGCGAGGTAGAGCAAGGGGTAGGCGAAGCCGTCGTTTGCGCCGCTCTCGGCGCTGACGAGGTTGCGGATGCGCGGGCTGACGTGCTGGTCGGCAAAGGCGCCCTGGACCAGGGCGGCCGAGAGGACGGGGTCGGTGGGCGAAGGACCCACGCCGACGACGAGGGCGGCCAGCAGGGGCAGGTCGGGCAGGGCGAGGTAGATGCACAGCGTGGTGGCGAGCCACATGAGCGTCATGACGGGGACGAGGAGCACCGCGAGGCTGCGGTAGTGCAGCTGGACCTGTATGCCGACCATGGCGAGCTGGATGCCAATGATGATGCGGCTCATTGCGAGGCCGATCTTGTCGTGCATGCCATCCCTGGGGAACCAGTCGGTGAAGCCGGCGAGGCCATAGGGGCCGAGGGCGATGCCGACCAGGACGGCGATGGGGGCCTCACCGAGGAAGAGGCGCTCCTTGACGAGGTACGAGACGGAGCCAAAGAGGATAAAGACCAGGCCGAAGCCCGCGGCGAGGAAGTTGACGGGCGTCCATTGCAGCTCGATGGGCATCGTTGCTGGAGGGTCGGGGTAGAGGGGACGGCGGGCGCCGTGGTGGTGTCCTGGTCGAGGAAGGCGGGGCACGGAGGGAATCGGTTGGTGTTGGGATCAGAGGCCGCTTCTGGCCTGGTGGTCAGGAGGCAAACGACTGGCGCAAGGGAGAGATAGAGAGGCGCACTGTCGCCCATCCTGCCCGTCGCTGCGACTGTTGCTACGGCAGCCGAGGGAATATCCTTGGCAGAGAAGAGGACGGCTGCTCAGCTGAGATGGATTGATGGATGGTCATTGACATGAATCCGTGATGGCGTATGCCGCCCCCCTTGGTCTCGTTCGTCTCGTTCGTCTCGTTCGCCGCCCTCTTCGCCCAATGTGGAGGGGAGCGCCCTGAAGACGAGTTTCCTGGAGCGCGTCACTGTGTTCAACAAAGCATTTGCGACCATCGCTTGGCGCTCTCTGGCTCGCCTTGCCGCAGTCGACGGCGACAACGCCGACCGTCATAGCATGTCTTCCGCATGCAAGCCCATAAGGTGACCTTTCTTCCGCCGCCCGCCAACGTGCGCCCGTAACTAACCCGATTGACAGTTCATCGACCACCGCCTTTCTCCCGCCCTCAGGTGTGCCTCGGCTTGTCGAGGTCTTCGGGCCCAAAGCTCATGGGCAGCAGGTAGTCGAGCGTCACGCACTCGACGTTGGCCTCGTCAAACTCCTTGCCCTGGCGGTCCTCGACCTGCTGCTGCTGCTGCTGCTGCTGCTGCGACGACGGCGCTGTCCCCGTGGCCGACTGAGCGCTCTGCCTGGACCAGTTGCGGCCGACCATGAGCACCCTAGTGTGGACGGAGCAGAACTCGCGGATGACCTGGCGGCAGAAGCCGCACGGGCTGCAGCTCCCCTCGAGGTCCGACGCCACCGCCACGGCGATAATGTCGCCCGCCTCGACCTTGCGCCCGGACGCGGCCTCGTCGACCGAGAGCGACGTGGAGCGCATCATGGCCTTGGCAATGGCCGTGCGCTCGGCGCACACGGTGCCGCCGTAGGACGCATTCTCCATGTTGGCGCCCAGGATGATTTCGCCCCACTTGAGCAGCAGCGCCGCTCCTACCCGGAACTTGCTGCGGGGGGGGGGAGGGGGGTGTCAGGTTGCGAGTGAGGGGAGAGATGTGGGCATGTGTTAGCCCGGGCCGAGGACGAGCCGGCGGGCTTGTGGTCGATGGTACGGTATCCTCACCTGTACGGGGCATAGGCCAGCTTGCGCGCCTCCTGGGCCGCCTCGAGCAGGTCGTGCTTCTTGTCGGCGATGAGGCGGAGGTCTGCGGCGTCCATGGTGGGCGGTGTCGTGTGCCGTCGGTTGCTGGCGTGCGGGTGGGGGAGGGTCTTTGGCTCGAGATTTGCTTGTGCGGGCAGCGGTGGGCTTTGCAGGCGTTCGAGTGCGCTTTTGGGGCGTTGCGGTGGCCGTGGTGGTGGTTACTGGTAGAGGTAGAGGACGGCGGTGGCCACTGAGCCAGTATAAGAGTCGTGGTGAGTGCGTCGGTCGGGAGGGATCCGTTGTGGCCAGGCGGGCCAAAGCAGCAGCATGATCCTCGGCCAGCTCCGGTCTCGGAACCGTGCGAGCGGAGGCTAGAGCGAGAGCGCAATAATGGCCTGTGCCCGCCTCCCTGGCTGCGCTGGGCTGGCTTGCATGCATGTGCCAAGCGCTTTGCTTATGGGCGCCCACCCGCTGCTCCTCTGCATTCAGGCAGGCCAGGCAGGGATGCGCCCGCGCTTTGCCGCCGTCCTTCTTGGCTGTCGGCCTTCACTCCGGTCTTCCATCCTCTCCGCACCCACCGCCTACTCTCCTCTTCGACCGATACAGATGGCCGCAGCGCTAGTATAGGCCTACACCGTACCCCTCTCTTGGCCTCGCAATCTGATCACCGACTTGCCATCGGCGAGCACGAGGCATGCCACGACCACCACCGCCAACGCTGCCACGGCCACCATGATCCGCTCCGGCCTACCCGCGAGTGGGCAACACGACTATCCCCCTTCCATCACAATACGGCCACCCTCGACGCACCTCACAACACCCTCATCCTCGTCCAAGCCATCCAGACCTACCCCTTCCACCTTGGCCGAGCGCAGCGACACTGTCCGCTACCGCATCCACCCGCACACCCAGCAGCTCAGCGACCACCGCCTCCAGGTCAGCAGCTATCCCGGTCCCTCCAGCAGCCGCGCGAGCGACGGTCAGCTCGAACCTATCTGGTACCGCGAGCGCTCCCTCTCCGAAGACGACGAGATCGTCGACCAGCTCGTCGACTGCCACACGTCCGACGTGGCTTGGACCGTCCATCGACCCACCAGGGGCTGGTACCTGCACCTGCGCTCGCCCCACCTGCCCCGCGGAACCGCCATCGCACTTCGATCCGCCAATGCCAGGGATGACGACCACTCCGTCACACCGCTCGCCTTCAGCCTCAGGACCACGATCCGAGGCGAGGCGCTCGCGCAGGCCCAGCCCATGATCGACCTCGAAGCGCCGGCCGGATCCTCTTCGTCGCCTCGTAAGCTACCGCTCGTCTCGGTGCTGCCAAGACAGGCGCACGAGATGTCCCGCGAGGGTGCAGGCAGGGCCAAGCGGAGGGACGACTATGTCCCTACATCTCCGCCGGATATCGCGGCCGAAGCTCGAGCGACGGGGCGGGCAGAGACCGCGCATGCCGGCCACGCGAGAAAGCGCAGCGCAGCGGGGTCCGGGACGCATTCTTACGGCTCGCGCAAGGCATTCGCACGCAGCGAGCTCGCCACCGGTGATCCCACCATTGAGGAAGATGACGAGGGCGACACGTCGACGGCCGCAAGGTCTGGCCCGTCCGAGTCGACGGAACCCGCGGTCAATGGCAGGCACAAGGCGCCAAGGAGTCCGCATGCCGATCGACCTTACTCGCCTGTAGAGCCGCGTCCGTTCGGATCGGGTATCTGGAGCCAGCACTCGGCGATGCCGAAGGGCAAGGCGAGGTTGCTCGAGCCGGGACCGATGGACTGCACGTTTGTCCTGTGCGACGGTGCGAGACAGCCTTTCATCTCCCACGCCCCGTCGTCCATCCGCGCAGGTCACAACTCTGGCTCCGCAGCATCGCCGTCGATCGCTCTGGCCGGAAAGCAGGGCTGGGCGCGGTGGGCATGGAACCTGCTTCCGCGCGACGTCCGACCCGTCCTGCCACTCGATACGGACAAGAGCTTCAGCCTGTGGTGGATCGACCCACCCCTTATCGTCGACCAGCAGGGTCCCTCTGCGACAGCCGCGGAAGGAGGGGCCGCGACGACGACGACGAGGCCGATCGAGGTGCTGAGGTTCGTCGATGAGAGCGGCTGGTGGCTGTGGGACGCGGGGACACGCGGCGGCCTGACAGTGCAGCAGAAGGCGGTCGAGGCGATTGGGCTGCAGCAGCAGTTCTGGATCGCCACCGCCCTCGCCTACCTCGACTTTTTGGAGACAAAGGACGTGAGTTGGTCCGGTGGCCCGTCGCCCGTTACGCTCTCGCTGACGACTTCCTCTGCTGTCTTACCCTTCTCGTCGATGACAGGGCTACGAGGCGGCCAAGGAGGGATAAGGAGGGGGCGGCTGCCCGCTCTCCGCTCTCGACCGCGACTGCGGCTTCGGCTGCGGCGCATCATACGGACATTTACTGCCACGACGCTCGTCGAGTCAATCACACTCTTTTGCACGCACGTTTCCGCTCTCTCTCTCTCTCTCTCTCTCTCTCTCTCTCTCTGTGTCTCTCACTCTCTCTCGACCGTTCCATTGCTTTTCTCGCGATGCTGACGTGGTCGACCTTCGCCTCCCGGGCGTCCAAAGGATGAGACAGACGTGACCACGATGCGACGACCCAGAGTCTAGTGGAACTTGCCGGGGACGACGGGCAAGCTGGCCGAGAGGCCGCCGTCGACGGGCAGTGCGATTCCGTTGACGTAGGATGCCTCGTCCGAGGCGAGGAAGGTAACGGCGTTGGCGATCTGGCGTCGGCGAGTGGGCAAGGTTCAGTCAGAGGTGTCAGGCGGCGACAAAGGGGATCGCGGGAGGGATGCAGGTCAGACTCACCTCGGCAGCGACGCCGTACCTTCCGGCCGGGTTGAGCTGTCCGATCTTGGAGGCGGTTCCCCTCTCCCTAGCCATGTCAAAGACGGCCGAGGTCATTCCCGTCTCGATGAGGCCGGGGCAGACAGCGTTGACGCGGACGCCGGTGCGGGTGAGCTGCCACGCCGAGGTGTTTGCGATCGAGATAACGGCGGCCTTGGAGGCCGAGTAGTCGACGGAGCCTGCGCCGCTCCGGAGGCCGGCGACGGAGGCCGTCATGACGATGGAGCCGCCCGACTCGGGCTTGGACGGCGACGTGCGCTGCATGGCCTCGGAGGCGTACTTGCACGCGAGGAAGCACGACGTGACGTTGATGTGGTGCGTCGTCTCGAGGTCCTCGACGTCGGTGGCGGCCAGGGGCGCGCCCGTGGCGCGGGCGGCGTTGGCGTAGAAGATGTCGAGCCGCCCCTCGTCCTGCAGCGCCCGCTGGCACACGCCCGAGATGGCCTTTTCATCGGCCGCATCGCACTCGAGCGTCGTCACCGTGACGTCCGGGTACTTTGTGGTGATCGTCTGCTTGAGGCCCGGCAGGTTTTCGCCGTCGAGGTCGAGGACGTAGAGGTGCTTGACGCCTGTGTGGGGCGAGGGGAGGAAGAGGCAGAAGGACAGCCGTCAGTACAAGTCAACCGACGCGGCAGCCGTCTCGTCATGAAAGTAACAGCATAATCCACCCACCTTCATGAGCAAACTGGAGCGCCGTGGCACGTCTGGTCGGGGAGGGTGTGCGCAGACGAGGAGGAAGGGGTCGTCAGCCGAGTCCGAATGCTCGCAGAGTGGCGATGGCGTAGACCAGAGGGACAATCCGCCAACTCACCCGATGCCGGTGAGGCTTCCGCAGCCAGTGATGATAGCGACCTTGCCTGCGAGCCTGCCGGACCTGGGCTTGTTGTCGAGGTGGTTGCGGATGCGCTCGAGGCGTGCCACGACGACCTCGTAGGCCTTTTTCTGCGCGTCCGAGATCTTGGATGCCATGGCGGTCGAGTGCTGGGCGGGCGAGTGGGAGGGAGAGTAGTGCGGGTGCAGTTGGGTCTGGATGAGGTGGACCGGGAGGGCTTGGTTAGCGGGAAGGAAGGTGCTGGGGAGTTGAAGATGGGGGTGATGGTGGTGGCGGTGGTGGCCCCTTCTACCTCTCCCTGACTCTTCTCGGCACCCCGCACTTTTGTGAGGGCAAGGCCAGGCCGGGCGGACGGACGGGCGGACTCTGCTGTCCCGGTCGTTGTTTGCCGGTGGGGCCGGTCAGAGGGCCTTCCAACACTTGGCCCGGGCGCCTTGCTTGGTTGGCTTCTTGCGGGGGGACCCTGTCGGCCGGCTGCCTGCCTGCCAGACGGCGGCCGACTTCCGAGTGTCAGCCCAGCCGGCCTGCCAGGCGAGGCGAGGCGAGGCCAAAGCAGGCAGGCGAGTCGCCGCCCAAAGCGTCCCGCCGGCCGGCTGCGTGCGCTGTGGGCATGCGCGCATGCATGCACCGCGAAGGACGGCCCCAACGCCCGGGCCACCGACGGCTTTTCAGCCTCGACATCACCCCACAATCCGCCCTCGACCTTGAGCCTCTGCCTCTTTCTCCTCTTCCCACCCCACCTCGTATGCCGACCGACCAGCTAGAGCTGAGCGCTGGACCAAGATAGAGCGACCCAAATAGACGGCCACCTCTCCTTGTGACCTACCACCACCATCGCCACCACCACCGACTCCAATACAGCCCCTCGGCCTGCACCCTCCTAGACCCAGCCCTCGCCGCTCGCCTGTCTTCGCGCTAGGCATTCGACTCGCCCACATGACAGCCACCGCCGTCACCCCGCCGGGCCACCGTCCAAAGCGATGGATCAGCCTCTGGCTCGGCCTCTCGAGCCTCATCGTCGCTTGGGACTTCCACTACGTCCTCCTCCGCCCGCGCTCCATGAAGGGCGGCGACCTCGCGTGGATCTGGAGCCCCTACGAGCTCTACGGCGGCATCGACTACATCTACGGCCCCACGGCTTGGGACGCAAAGGATGGCTTCCCCGCCGCACAGAGCATCCTCAACGTCGCAGAGACCTTCCTCAACTTTGTCTACCTCTACCTCGCCCACGTCCGCCGTTCCGCCTCGGCCATGGCCGCCGCCCCCCTCGTCGGGTTCGCCGCCGTCGTCATGACTTTCAGCAAGACCGTCCTCTACTGGCTCAATGTGCGTCCGCCCCGCCTGCTCGCGGCATCGCCGACGTTGCTGCTGCCACTGCCGCCGCCACTGACGACTCCTTGCCTCCCCTCGCGCTCTTCTCCCGACGCCAAACGTCGACAGGACTACTGCTGCGGCTGGTGCAAGACGGGCCACAACAACTGGCACGACCGCTTCTTCCTCTGGATCGTCCCAAACGGCCTTTGGCTCCTTGTCCCCGGGCTCATCATCTACTCATTCGGCGCCGAGATGTTTGCCAACCTCAGGCAGGTTGAGCTGGCCAAAGGTGCGCGGGAGAACGGCACGGCCCCACGTGCGTCGCCGTCGGATAGAGTGGCTGAGAAAGATGCCCAGCCCCCGCCGTCTGACCATCTCCTCGTCCACCACGACCAGCTTCCGGAATGGGGTGAGTGTGCGACGGGCCCGACCGTGTTCGCACGCCGTGTGGCGACGTGCGCAGACGAGCTGATCGGTCCCTGCTACCTTGCTGCCACCCTTGCACGCCGCGCGCCGCTCCTATCAGCCAAGGACAACCCGCTGATTCGAAGGGGCTATCGAAGGCCGGGAGGAACGGGGGACGCGGCAAAAAAGACGTATGAGCACGACACGTTTGCCAAGTGTTGGCGCAGCGTCTGGGCCTATTGGCACAACGAGACCGGTGAGTCGCATGCTTTGAGCGGCCCTTCACCCCCTCGAGTCAGCCTCTGCTTCGACCTGCTGACGGCCACGATGCCTTCACGCCTGCTTGCCTTCCGACCGACACGCCCAGTCAATATCCACACGCACATGTGGGGAGCCATGTTCGCCTTTGTCCTCTCTTCGACCCATCTTCTGCAGCACTTCGACCTGCTCCCAGCTCTCGTCCGACCGCTTTCCCACCACCCGCTCTTCTACCCGTCGTCTCTCACGTTTACCACGGCCGCGGGCAAGGTGCTCCGCCTCGCGGCAGCCTCGTACCCGGCCACCAAACACGCCTCTTCGCTCTCTGAACCGTCCAATGTCGCCACGGGCCAGCCCCCAGTCGACCTCGTCTCTGGCCCGCTCTCGTCTCTCCGCGCCTTTTTCGCCCCGCCCTCGGCCGCTGCCAAGGTCTCGCAGGCGGCCAGCCAGGTGGTCCACAACACCCTGACGGTGCGCCCGCCCGACACGCTCGATGTCGTGGGCTTTGGCATCTTTTTCGTCGCCGCCGTCATCTGCCTCGGCTTCAGCGCGTCCTACCACACTGTCGGCTGTCATTCACAATACGTGTCGCGCGTCTTTAACCGGATGGACTAGTGAGTGCGCCGCTGCCGATGGGTCGGTTCGGGGCGAGCAGCAGCAGCTGCGGCGATCGCGGGCTGACCCGCCGTGTCCTCTGCCCTCCCCTTGGCATCGCAGCATCGGCATCGTCGTCATGATCGTCGGTAGCTTCCTGTAAGTGCGCTCGGGTGGCGCGGTGTGACTGCGTGGCGCGGTACTGACGTTGCGACGCCTCTGCGCCTCTGCGCCTCTGCTCTGCTTCTAGTCCGGCCCTTCACTACGGCTTCTACTGCCACCCGCACTTCCAGCTCGCGTATTCTGTCGCCATCATTCTCATGGGCTCTGGTGAGTCTGCGGCAGCGTCGCGACGGGTCCGTGAGATCGCGCAGAGGCTAACGGGCAGCCCTTTCTCTCTCTGCCCCTACCTCTTTCCGCTCGCGCAGTCGCCATCTACGTGGTTATCGCGCCCAAGTATGGCACGCCGCACTACCGGCCGTACCGCACTGCCGTCTTCCTGGTGCTCGGGCTCAGCGCCATCTTCCCCGTGCTGCACATCGTCAACGTCTACGGCGTGAGTGAGGGCCCAAGCAGGGCGACTGGCTATTCCAATCGCCGCTGAAAGAGCCTCGCGCTGAGCCCGTCCCCTTTCCTTCTCTGCCCTCGTCTTTTCCTCTCTCTGCGAGCAGTACGACACGATCACGCAGACCATGGGACTGCGCTTCCTGCTGACCTCGGGCGCGCTGTACGTCGTGGGCGCGGTGCTGTACATGCTGCGGGTGCCGGAGCGCTTTGCGCCGGGCCGGTTCGACTTGGTGGGCTCGTCGCACCAGATTTTCCACTGCCTCATCCTGCTCGCTGCCGCCGCCCACTACATCTCGCTGCGGCGCGCCTATGCCTTCTGGCACACGGTCGAAACCATGGGCGGCGTCGGCAAGGAGGGCGTGTGCAGGGCGCTCGAGTCGTAGATGACCCCCTCGTCTCTTCCGATGTCTCTGTGCCTCTACCTCTACCTCTGCTGCTTCGCTGCTTCGCTGCTTTGCTACCTGCCTAGATTATCGCTGCTCTGTCGGTCTTGGCTGCGGTGCTGGCTGTGCGGCCAGGTGGGCGACGGATCGAGGACCTGCTCATGAACCTGAACGCCTCTCGTCGGCTCTGTTCGGTCGACATGCCGAATCGAAAGGGCAGGCTGATATAGCGCTGCGAGATAGCGGTCGGGGGTTCACCATGACAACGACGCAGAGTCGTCCGAGTACATAGTATAGGTGGGATGGCTCGATGCGTGGAAGCGCCACGTCCGATGCATCCATGCGCGCATCGACCGACGGTCGATGCGCCAGGCAGAGAGATGGACGGACGGAAGACGGGAGACGGAGCGAGCGAGGGAGAAAGCAAAGGGGGCGTCCGCGGTGCCCGCGGCGTTCCGGAAAGTTGGTTGCGGGGCTCGACTGCGCCTGGCTCTGCTCTGCCTTGCTCTGCCTTGCCTTACCTTGCCTTGACCATCACCGCGCGTGGGTACCGGTGCGCTGGGCCGGCAATCAAGAAAGGGAAAGGGCTGGACGGGCCGATGGATTGGATGCTATCGCCGGGCCGAGCCCAGCTGCTCTTTTCTCGGGAGTCGGCGAGACTAAGCCTGCCATGCTGGGGCTACAGGGCGCGCTAAGCTATTCGGCTGTCAAGGAGAGGCGGCAAACAGCGAGCAGGCTACAGTAGGCAGGACGTACGTCCGACGCGCGAGTGCGGGGTCAAAGTGCCGCTTTGCTTGGCTGCGCTGTCTTTCGCCTTCGGCATGTGATAAGGTTACGTCGTGGCCCCCAAGCCACCGTGCGTAGGACCACATACGAGCGCGGGACGACAAAGGACCCTCCCTGCCTTGCCTTGCCTTGCCTTGCCAGGCTTTGCCTTGCCCTGCCTCGATCCTCGACCACAGGACCGGATCTCGGTCACCAAACACAGGCCGAGAAAAGCACGAGGTCCGTGTACCGGTACATCCCCCTACCTGCTTCTGCTTTGCCCCGCAGTGCTCTGGAGGCCAGGCCAGGCCAGGCCAGGCCGAGCAGCAGTCAGTCATGTGGGGATGCCGCAAGCTGGCGTTCCGACGGTCGCTTCGGTTGCCCTGCCTTGCCCCGTAACTAGCCTGCTGGCCTGGCCTGGCCTGGCAGCCATTTAAGGCAACGCAACGCTACGCCAGCCGGCGCTTCGTACTGCTCGCTCCCTCGCTCACTCACTCAATCTTGGCTCTAGCCCTAGCCCTAGCCAAGCTGCCCTCCGTCTAGGCAAGCAACAGAGACGGGACGACGAGCCAAGCCGAGTCTTGAAATAGCGAGCGTCGTTGCCGTGGTCGCCCTGCTCGGTCCCTCTGTCTCCATCGGCAGCCTTTCCTCTCGCCCTTCGACCATCGGCAGCCTTTCCTCTCGCCCTGCGACCATCACCATCCACCCCTACGCCCTGGATCGTCTCACTTGGCAGACCATCCGTACCCGTACCCGGCCATTGCATCCCTTCCCGACTCTCGGCCCTCGTATCCGACACCAAGCCCCCGCCCACGACCACCGCGCGCCATGTCGCCAGCGCCCGCCGACATGATCCGGGTCGAGCAGCCCCTGCTCCGAGCCGTGCTCGACAACGTCCACGCCCTGGTCGGCCACACGGGCATCCTGCTGCCCAGCATCCTCGTCGTCCTCGCCGTCCTCTGCCTCATGTACCCGGACCGCGTCGCCTTCAGCCCGCCCCGCAACCGCAAGGAGCTCGCCTACCTGCCCGGCTACCCGCTCATCGGCAACCTCATCGAGATGATGAAGCTCGACCTGACAAAGCAGCTCGAGTTCCACCTGGAGCAGTTCAAGCACAGCCCCTATGGCTACCAGATCAGCATCCCCAAGCAGGGCACCGGCAGCATCATCATGCTCCACCGCCCAGAGTACATTGGTGAGTCTCGGCCAATGCTCCTCTCTGCAGCTCGACGGAGCTCGTCCATGGCCTTGGCCGGCCAATCACGCTGACGCCGGGCTTCCTCACCGCTCGCCCCATTCCATTCCATCCCGTCCCGCCCTTTGGCTCCTGACCCACAGAATACGTCCAGAAGACCAACTTCGGCAACTACATCAAGGGCGAAAACTTCCGCCAGCGCTTCAAGGACTTCCTCGGCTCCACGGGCATCTTCGTCGCTGATGGCCACGCATGGAAGACGCAGCGCAAGATGGCGTCGCACATCTTCTCCGTCTACCAGTTCCGCACCTGTACGTGGCCGCTGGGATGTGCAGAGGATAGGCTAGGCGGGCCGGTAGCGCAGACATGCTGACGAGCTCGACCCCGCTTCGGCGCCGACGCTTTCACCGCCCACAGGGGTCCAGACGGTGGTGCACCACGAGCTCGAGAGCGCCATCTCGCTGCTCGACACGCTCACCGAGCGGGCCGAATCCAAGACCGGCGGTCCCGCCACGATCCGCCTGCCGGACCTCTTCTTCCGCTACACGCTCAACTCGTTTGGCAAGATGGCCTTTGCCAAGGACATCGAGTGTCTCACGGCCGACCCGAGCTGCCTGGACAAGGAGGTCAAGTTTGCCGCCGCCTTTGACCATGTCCAGGAGGCCATCAACAACCGCTTTCTCAACCCTTTCTGGCCCATTCTAGAGCGCGTGACCAAGGAGGGCAGGCGCACCAGGAGGAACGTTGCCGCCATCCGCGAGTTTGGCCTCGATATCGTCGACGAGCGGCTCAAGGAGCGCGAGAGCGGCGGTGCCAGCGCCGGAACCGGCGAGAAGCAGGGATCCTCGGACGAGAAGCTGCAGCAGCGCAAGGAGGGCAAGGACCTGCTCGACCTCTTCATGGACCTCACGACGGACCGCGAGGAGCTGCTCGAGGTCGTGCTCAACTTTATCATTGCCGGCCGCGACACGACGGCGTCGAGCCTGGCCTGGCTGTTCTACGAGCTCTTCCGCCACCCCGAGTACGTCGACCAGATCCGCAACGAGGTGCGAAGCGTGCTGCGCGACGAGAGCGACGGCAGCCTCAAGCTGCTTCCCTACGAGCAGCTCAAGGACCTCCCCTTTACCACGGCCGTCTTCAACGAGACGATCCGCCTGCACCCTCCCGTGCCGCGCAACGGCAAGACGGCTGTCAAGGACGACGTCATCGTCCCACAGGGCCCCACGGCCGCCGGCCTGCCGCCCATCAAGGTCTACGCCGGCGAGCAGATTGGCTGGTGCGACTGGGCCATTGCGAGGTGCACCGACGTGTGGGGGCCCGACGCCGCCGAGTTCCGTCCGGAGCGCTTCCTCGAGGTGCACCAAGACGGCACCAAGTCGGTCAAGAACTACGGTCAGTGGAAGTTCCACGTCTTCAACGGCGGTCCGCGCCTCTGCCTTGGCATGACGCTGGCCACGTACGAAGCGCTGGCCTGGGTCGCTGCCGTCATTGACCGGTACGACTTTGGCTGGGCCACCGAGGAGCAGGGCCAGCAGGCCCACTGGCCGCTCCGCTACAAGAACAGCGTCACCCACCCGAGCGAGATGTACACGGCCACCGTCGTCAAGAGGTAGCTGGGCGCGTCTGATTGCTTGCAACGGCCAAACCTGTAGCCTGTCGTCGACGACCCGACCTGAAGCCTGTATCAGTGTGTTCCCCTTGTTGTTCACCCCTCTCATCATGACCTTGGAATGATTTATGACGCGAGCGATGGCGGTGGGGGTGATTGGATGCGAAGTGACGGCCGCGGATGAGGGGCGAGGCGGCGGTGTGATGCGATGTGCTCTGCATGCTCTTGTCGGCGCGTGCATGCTTCGAGGTCGGGCTGGCTAGCTTTTCACGTTCAGGCGAACGACCACCATGCCCCTTTCCTTTCGAACACCATCGACTGCGGCAGGCAACATCGTCGGGACGTGATGCCGCCGCCGCCACCGCCCGACTCGCTCCTGACGGCCTCTGGCGCCTCTGTGCGGCCGGTCGACGAGCCGCTATCGGACCTGTGGGCCACGCTCTCGTCGAACCGACCCGTGCCGCTGCGCTTCGTCCTGCTGCCCTCGCGCCGACCCAACAAGGCCCTCTGCCCAGCCCTACAGGCCACCCTCGCCACGCCGCCGCCGCCGCCACCACCGCCGGTCGAGGGCCAGCCGCAACGCTATCGGGATCGCAGCTACACCGTCACCCGCATCCTGGATCCAGAGCACAAGCAGCCCTACATCTCTCTCGCGCCGCTCCTGCTGGCGGGAGGGAGGACGCTGGTATCGGGTCTGCTGGAGTTCGACCTGTCGCTGCAGGACGGCGACTACGACGTGCACCTGACGGGGCTGGAGCCGTTCGACGACATCTGGACGCCGCTGCCGCTCGCG